TATATATATATATATATATATATATATATATATATATATATATATATAGGATTTTTGTTGGAAATATTTCTTTATATTATAGTAAATCTTCTTAAGAAAAATAAGTACGTAAAACACCTTCTACATTATTATATCCCACCCAAATGTTTTCATTAATTTATCCACATAAGTAGAAGTGTTCAATACGGTTGCGAAAGCTTGACGAATTTGATTAGGCTTGTTTTGGGTGCATATATTTTACGTGTATTTCCACGAAATTTTCTTCAACAACTTGCGAATTGTCTTGTGGGGTTATACATTCATGCATTGTTGGAAAACGCTTACCCCAGGAATGAAGAGGAGCTCCGGCGATGACCGATGACGAGGAGGTCAACGCGGAACACCTTGGTGCACGTGAGGATCGTCGTCGCCTTGTCCTTGCTCTCCAACTCCACCCTCTCGACCTGCACCCTGACCTTGGGTTGCGCGAACTTGCACTTAGCTCGCATCACCTCCAGGAACTCGTAGTCGCCCTTGCCGTCGGCGACGCCGACGGCGGCGTGCGGGGAGACGCGGGGGGAGGCGGCCGCGGGAGGACGGCGGAGGAACGCTGACAACGCGGAGGACCGCCGCACGTTCGCCTGCTCGATGTGGAGGAGGATGATCTCGTCGTGCTCGAGCACGGCGTGGTAGAGGGCCCACTCGAGTGCGCCCACGGACTCGCGGCCGGGGTCGGCGACCACCATGACCCTTCGCTTGCCTCCGGGAGTCCGGCCACCGTCCATGGCCACAGCGACAGCGACCGCCGCCACCACCGCCACCACCGCGACCACAAACATGAAAATAACTTAACGATGACACAGGCTCCCGGCTAAGTTTGGAACGTTAGGAGGCGAACGAACGACGAGCCCGTTGCTTGTCGTTCGTCGGGCAGTGCTAATTGTGGGGATTATGTTAAGCGCCACCCGCGCGACTCGGTCAACGCCAAGTCTGAGACAATGCATGTTCAGTTGCTCACATGTTTCTGTTTCTGAGGCTTTTATAAACACGACAAAAAAAAAACACGTTTTCCTGTTTCTGTTGCCTTTTTTTTATGTCTTACCTGCAATTTTTTTTTCTTCTAGAAGGTACGTTAACGAAAAAAATCTTATAATATTAGTGTCTACCTTGAACTTTAAATATTATTTAATATCTCATAATTTCGTTTCCTTACTATAATTTTGTTTGTTTTTTATTTATCTTATGCTCTAATTAATATATTACTTGATACTTTTGATTTTAATGGACTTATTATCCTCTAATTTTATCATTGGTGAAGACAATATTTTGGGATTAATAATAATAATAATAATTAGAAAAACAAAGAACTCAGCCAATAGTTGGAAATGTGAATCACCATGCATGTAGTCCAAGAGGTGGTTTGTCTCGGCAAATTACCAGTATGTATAGTATAATTGAGCATGAATCTTAGTGTAGATATACATTGAAAATTGTTGGAAGAATGACAAGAGAAACCACTAAATAACAATAGCATAGAAATTGTGGAATGTCTTAGCCTACCAAATGCCTCACTAAAGGGTTGATTAGTGCCTACCTGAAATGCATCTTCCGCTACTTTCAGATGTAAAGGTCCAAAAGGCTCCGACAAACCAACAAGAGAACCAAAAGATTCGGTTATGCAGTGGAGCATTTTGCAAAGCAGCAGACATATAGGATGTCCCTCTTTTCACCTTGCACATCAAAACGAAGATCTGATCCACTGCTCAAAATATACATAAGATGCCTACAATGAGACGATTATATTACAAATTTCAAGTGAATGAAGCCCACAAGAATACATTTTATCAGCATACCTCTTTTTTGGGGAAACTCAAGGCAAACTCAAGTTACTCATGTTGGTTTAAGTTAGACTTAAAACTGATACACTTGAACAGCAGTAAAGAACAAAACTTCCATGCTCTGCCCCCACGGACTCCCCAAGGATGTTACAATTGAAAAGACTTGTCATGAATATTGCATGATAACCCGTAAAATGTCGGCTCCATGCTGCTCCTGGTTTACAGTTAAGATAGCATGTGACATATCATCCATGGGAATGATTTCCTCTGTAGGATCTGAAGCCTTCGTGTCGATCTTCCAGAAGGTCTATTCCTGAGCTGCTGACTCATCTGAAGTAGATTCAACACCGTGTCTAGCAGAGAGCACTTTGTCTAGCGTCTGGTCTGAAACCTTGATTCCAGTAGTCTCCATATCGGCAACAATCGCAATGGCTGCATCCACTTCTCCAAGATCAAGACACAGCAGGATAACTTCATTATACAAGGGGCTGAATCCATCAGGAAAACGATAGTTAGAATTGCAAACCAAGAATGCAGAAACATACTGGTAGTTTTGAACTGCAGAAGTGTCTTTTCCATGCTCTTGAAATGAGAGTACACTAGACTTAAAAAGATCTAACATTTGGTGTCTTAGAACCTAATGGAAGAATAAAAAACAGAATCATTGAGAAAAACCCACATGCAAGTTGCATTGAATCATGGATTTTAGAAACTCTAGTTTGAACTGGCCATTTCTAGGAGAATAATCGAAGAATCTTCTCCCACTGAATCATAGTTTGTCAGAAAACACAAATATACAATTAGAAGAAAATAACTATTCATTTAGCAGAAATGCTCATTCAGTTAATATTTTAATACTACAATGATGGTCCCAAAATCAGCATGAAGGCACCAACAATAACACCTTATTTTCCAAGTAAAATGTTGTTAGTTCTCCCTACATCTTTCCTCAGATCACTAATTCTAATCAACTCATTTGTCTAACTAGCGCATCTATAGGTCTTTGAATATGTTCATAGCATTTTAAATTTCTCATATTATTACTAGAACAGTCAAATCAAATCAAAGGCACAGATGAAATCTTGTTGACATGATGTCATATCACTGTGCTCAACCCAGATACTAAATGGTAGATCCAGGATCATGGCTTCATGATAAATGAGATCAATTATATCAACTTAACTTTAAAAGACTGGATACCATTTAAAGGGTAATGGACATAATTCAGCCATCTATATAGCTATATCAATAAAGCATGGTACGGTTATTCACAAAGACACTACAGGCACATGTAAACATGTGCTGTCACATGTACAAAGAAGCAAACACAAAAATATAAGCACCGTAATTTTCAATGAACAATATTTTACTTGTATCCAGCATTTAGGTTGCAAGCATGATCAAAATCAGTAACTATACAAAAATGTTTAATCATGTCTCTGAGATAAATGTAAGTATGAAACTAACTCCGGATCAAAGTATCATATTATCTGCAAAAATGTAACACATCGAATGCAGCACGAATGCCTGATGCATAACATGAACAATTTAAGAGGGCCCCATTAGGTTTAGTAACACCTGATACTTATGCTTAAGAAACATTCCTTACTAGGACAACAATTGATCACTTTGAATAAAAAACTAAAGGAACCGACTGATGCATCAACCATCTTGGTCTATTAGTATCAGATTACTAATAATCCATGCAAAGTTAAATAGGATTAGCTATTCTTGCATCATCTATGAGCTATATAAAGATTATAAACTTTACCTCCCAAATGCATAGCCAAGACTATGTGTTGTCTGCAAGATTGTCAAAAAAGCAGATGGCATAGGAGCTCTTATAGCAGCACGGAGTATCATGGCACAATCTCCAATGGTTGGGGTCCCACCTAATTCAATAACCTGAAAATCACAATATATTACATTCAGTCGACTGACCTACTTACCACCGGCAATATTTTCTAATTTGAACATTAATAAAATATATCCTTATAGATTTCAGAACATAGAGAATCAAGAGACTGGGCGAGTAGGGATGTAAAGAAAAACAATACAACATATTATACAAATCTTGTAAAAAGGATAAAATAGACATTTATTAAAAACAGTATAAAGATAGCAAAAGAAACTACTCATACTGGACGTTAGCAAGTCAAACAAGCTTGTAAAGATCGTCTTAAGTGCACTATCTCTTTATGGCTTTAAAAACATTGTTAATCTTCCCTATCTACCATTTATAGGGTAAAAAACTATGCAAATGAAATTGCTTAGAAAATGGATAACTGATAACCGCATCAAAATGTTATACTGTAATTCAGATCTTTAATTTATAGCTGAATGATAAAAAAGGGGTACAAAATGCATCTATGAAGTACCAGAAATCCATCATGATTAACTGGTAAAACAAGTCTCTGAATTATAAATCTAGTTGAATAAAGGTAAATGTGGAAATAAATGGAAAAACTTCCTCCTTTGGAAATTTTTCCCGGCTTTATGTAAGGGCACTTTCAAACAATTAAACTTACTATTTTGTTCACTCAATACTCAATCATCATAGTGCAAGCTTGGAGAAAAACTATTAACCATATAATATCATTTCTCTTGATGCTCAATTACAGAAATATCGTACATAAAAGAAAAGATCACACTACAAAGACAATTAACAAATGTGGGTGTGTCAATGAAATCCAACATTTTTCACTTCAAATGATGAATAGCGGCACATAGTAATATAAAGAAATGGAGACAGCCGCTTCCAGAGGAGATGAAAGGACATACCTTTTGCATGATTTTAATTGCTAACTCCACTTCCCATTCTTGTGACCATTTACAAGGCATTTTGTTCTTCAATTCTCTCTCCCAAGTCCAACCCCAAGCATCTGCAATTGTGAACATATCTGATACATCAAAAATCTTCCTCTCTCTCATGACCTTAAATGCTTCATGTATATCCTCTGGAAGCCAGTCTTCATCAGCATCATCCTACATCAATAAGGCAATTATGTCATTGATATGAAAGAAAATCTGGATCATCCGAACTAAAATCTCTTTAATCCTGAACCAGACCCAAACCGAACGATCAGGGACAGTTCAATGGACCATTAATATAACCTAGTCTTTACTAGTCTGAGTGAAATTAAGAACCTTGGTAACAAATATTTATTTTTAGCAAGAATTTCATAGCATGCCAACCTGAAAAAATGCAGCTCTTTAGTATTGTTAATCGCATTTGTTTGTGGATATATATATATATATATATATATATATATATATATATATATATATATATATATATATATATATATATATAGATACAGATGATTTATGGAAAGGCCAGAGTTAAGGTAAAGGCTAGGAAGTTAACCAAAATTATAAAAGCTACAGAGCCAAAGGAAAAGGACAGGAAACTCACAAGTATAAATATTGAACTGGAAACACGAGCAACAGGAAAATCAGAAATAAGATGCAAACAACATAAGTAAAGAAAATTTCCGGAGCCCCAAAACACAATTTTCTTATATATCAGCAAAAGCTTTGGCGTTATTAGTTTCAACAACTAGAGCATCTCAGCTTGTAATCTCCAGGGAGAGCAAGATATTCGTTGTATGGTTAAGCATGCGGAATCACCAAGGGTAGAGAAGCATTAATGGTAAATATTTTGCACAAAAAATAATGGAATCTGGTGCAAAGGACAACGTAATTCTTGAGCAACAATTAAACATGCTGGCCATGATGATCATTTTGCACCATGTTGGATGTGCACTTGCATGTGTTTATCATGGGCATGGCAGAAAACTCAGGCAGAACAATCATGCAAGAGCATTGCAATATAGATTTTTAAAAAAAAACTTATCATGGTCTTGGCAATAGTTAACTGAATGAAAAGAAACAGTCATAGCTAATAAAAAATATTCAGAGTGTACCAAGATCACAGAATTGAAAGA